GGGGGTGTACGGAGCGCGCGCACACACACACACACACGCGAGCACGCACGATCGCGGCGAGTTTGCTAATGGAGCTGCGGGCCGCACGGCGCCCCGCTATATAAGCGCGCCGCGGTCACGTGGTGCCAACGGAGTGAGGTGATTGGTCAGCGCCGCGCCGGGCCCCCGAGTGGAGGGGGGCGCAGGGGGGAGGGGGCTGTCTGCGGCCCCCGGAGCGGCTCATTCACCATGACGGGGTGCTGGAGCAAGTCGCACGGCAGAGGTGCCAAGTGTGCGCGCTACAAACACCGATTTGTCTGTTGGTTTTTTTTTCTTGATTTTTTTTTCCTGATTTTTTTTTTCAAATTTTCCTGATTGCTGTGATTCTTTGTCCTTATTTTTTTTCTCATTTTTCCTGATTTTTTTTGATTGTGGTAGTCCGGGGGGAGAAGGGGGCAGAACATCTTGTCATATGGGACAGACACATTATATTACTTTCCTATGGCCACTGATCAAGAGATGTTAATGTTTCGACCCGTGTAATTTCACCAGCTCATCACACGCCTGGAATCTTGGGCCAGTAATATATTTTCCTTTCTTATCTTGTATGCTTACGACGCACTATACTTCAGAGTATTCCACTTGCGACAGTCTTGCCTGAGATATAAGTGAAATGCATTTGCAAGTTAAGCACGGAAAGTAGGTAAAAATACTTTTTTGACTCTAACACCTACGGCCCTTCTCTGGAAGAATGCAAAAAAAATTGCTTTCAAAATAATTCAATAAGTGTGAAGAAATTTGCCTTCATTGAAAAGAATGCTAAAATGTGTCATTCACTATAATTCGGAGTCAAGGCACCGTTACGGTTACTTTGAAATTCAACCAAAAAGAATCATAAGGCAGTTCTTTATAGGATTTGGTGAAGGATCACCCAGAAAGCACTCCCGTCATTGCCGTTGCGACCCTTCCTATAGGACCTACAGGGTGGTCCACAGACCTCTTTCTTTATTTTGCTTATACTGTACCGGATGCAGGCGTGCGGACGGGTTGCATACTCGCACGGGGCCATCAGGCGCCCATGGTGAGCGACAGTAGGCAAGCCCGCACGCACGCATGCATGCGGTACAGTATAAGCAAAATAAAGGAAGGGGTCTGTGGACCACCCTGTATAGTATAGGTGAAGACGTTGCAACCTCTCAGCGCCTGGTCGGTAGGCAACACCTTTGCCTTCAGTGCTTGCGTGTGCGGCGGGGTGGCCTACCTTGAGTCCTGCAGGCGCCGAGCTCCCGCAGTCTACAAAAAAAGAATCTGAGGGGTAAAAAAGGACGTTCTTTCAGGACGTTTTGTAACTTGGTAACCGCGGTGCTTGGCTTTCGGGAGGAACGCGCTTGAGAGAGCTTGGTGCAGGCAGTATTGAACTCTATATGGAATATGCTGGTGGGCAAAGAGGGGTGCAGCGCCTGCGTTTAGGTCACTCGCTTGCGGTGACTTATGCGGTCGCATGTGGACCTCCTTTGGAGTAATAATGATTGCATTGTTATCGCTTTGGGTTCCGTCTCCGTGCGCGTTGGAGCACCTGACTCCAGCCCGGCCCTCGGTGTCGGCGGTGCATTCCAGTGTCGGTGACGGGCGGGCCGGCGGGGCCGTCGCCGGGGCGTACCCGGGAGACGACCCGCACACCGCTGTCCCCCACACAACAACGTCTCTGAATCAATTCGGGTCACTCGTTAGGTCGACCGGCCTGCTGGGCGTGGCGCTGCGGTAGCGCCGGACATCGTTACAGCCGCGGTCTCCGCCCGCCCCGCCCCGCCACGCCCCGCCCCGCCCCTACATCCACACTCCGATGTGGTGGCCCGCGCGCGTTGGGGCGGGTCAGGGGAGCCTGCCGTACTCTGCGGGCTGCGAGCGCCACGCCGTGGTATGGGCCCCGCGCCCGGGCCGAGAGCCTGCCTGCTAGCCTACGAGAGGAATGGAAACATTTTCGCTTGTACCGCCACTGGCGCTATTCTCAAAAAAGACACCCTCATCAATATTATCGCAGTTCACTGGATGCAAAAAAAAAAAAAAAAATTTGCCGAAAGAAACCATTGACGGGCGTCCCACGAAACACAAATAATGAAATAATTTAATCCCCGTTCTTTAAGCTCATTAAGCTCATGGGCGCTAAACTGCTTGCACCTCAAGTAACTACCAAAGTTTGGTGGTGCACAGAGAGGGTGTAGACTACCAGGTGGCTGATTAACCCCGCTCGTTGGCCGTGCAGGTACTCGCCGCCCTCGCCCGGCGGTAGGCGCCGCTGAACCCCTTACCCAACGCGAACCAGTGCAGAGCGGCGCGGTCCGCTTCGCCCGCACCACGACCGATTTCCGAGAACTCTGGCTGGGCATAGCGCGCCGGGCTCCGGCCCCGGTGGTGTAGTGTGACACTCTGGTATCTGGGATATGGACGCCTCTCTTACTCGGAGCCGGAGCCCGCGCGCGCGATCTCTCTGCCGCGCTCACTCACTCACTCTCACTCGCTCACTCTCACTTGCTCACTCTCACTCGCGCACTCTCACTTGCTCACTCTCACTCGCTCACTCTCCCTCTCGTCGCCGACACTCTCCCCTTCATGTCCGCTTGTTAGTGGTGCTGCTCGCCCCGACCAGCACGCCGCATGCCTCGCGGTGGAGAGTTAGAGGAAGTGCGGGGGG